CCCTCTCCCAAACTGCTGAGCCTGTGGGATACACTGGCTGCTCCAGCCCACAAGGCTCACACAGCACCCCAGATCCTCTGCAAGCCCCCCAGCAAAGCTAGGTGCACAGGCACGTGAAGGGACAGTTTACAAACTCCCCTTGGCACATGTATGGGAGATGAGAAGCAGTGAAATTCAGCAGTATTTTCCCTACACCTTGCTTAGGGCAAGGTCAGTGGGACTGCACGGTGAGCCAGGGACAAAACCTGCAGCCTCACCTGCCTGCAACAGGTACCTGCAAAAGGAACAACAGCAGAAAAGAGGGAACTGCAAAGAGAAGGCAGGGAGGGGAAGAAGCAACATCTGCTGCCCCATAAAGAAAGCACTGATTTACACAGCTTATGCACTTTTAGCAGCAGCAGCAGCAATAATAATAATAATCATAATCATAATAGTAATAATGCTCTCTGAGAGGCAGGAGAAGAGAAGCTCCTCTGGACCCACATGGTAGAAGTCACATGCCAGCACTGCCAGGAGATGTGATGGGGATGAAGGAGATGTTGCATCCACACTGCTGGGTCTTGGAGCCTGATCCATATGCAAACCCTGCTCTATTCCATGACTTTGGATGCGGGAAGGAGAGAAGACAAAAAGCTTCATGGCTTCATGCCCATCCCATAATCAATCCTACAGGCTTTCCTCTCCAAGAGCAGTGTTCCCAGCAGGGCAAAGCTCTGCCACAGCCTTAGGATCTGAATGGCAGCTCTGTCTAGTAAGAAGGCCACAGATGAGCTCTTCCAATGGTCACAACACCAAGAGCAGATCCACCTCCCCTGGTAACCAGGCTCAGACAACATCCACACACTACAGCCTCATCAGTGTGACTGCAGCCAGGAGCACATGCCACCTTGCACCCAGCTGCTAGGACCATTCAAGCCCCGTTTGCTGCATGCTTGGCCAAGCTTTCCTGCAGCGTGCCAGGAGAGCTCTGCAAAAGCCTGCATTTGGGTCTAGGGCATGTATCAAACCCCACAAAGATCTGTTCTGTATGTGGAGTGTCCACAGGGACCCTGACTGCAGTGGTCATCAAAGGTTTCATGCTCTTTAGGCAGAGACTGATGCCTGGGGGCTGCCCAGCCCCCCCACTGCCCATTTCCCCCCTCAGAACTAACCAAAGCCACCAGCCAGTCTGCCACTCCAACAGCAACGCAAGATGGGCACCATGACACAGCTCTGTCTCCCTGAGATGGTCAGGCTGCTGCCACTAGCCCAGCCGATCCACACAGTTGGTTGCAGAGCCCAAAAGGAGCAGAACAGGCAGCTCCTTTCACACAGAGGGTTTTGGCAAGCTGGTGAGCCAAACATTCCAGCAGCCCCATCCCCAGCAGCGGTGTCTACAGCATGGGTTGTTGTGCTCTGGTTGCCCAGTGTCTGCACTCCTTGTTTTCAGCTCTTAATCCAATGCAACAAGAAGCTAAAAATATACAAGTGCCACCTCCCATCATGTCTCTGAGCAGGCTCTGCAGTCACCATGGGATGATGGAGGTGCATGCGTGATGGAGGTGGGGCCTGGCTCTGTTCCCAAAATGCTCCACCACAATGCAGCTCTCAACAGCTACAGCTAGGAAGCTCCATCTGGTGACAAGGCCAGCCTGGCAGCAGGCACACATGTTCCCACCACCCTAGCAGAGGGAATGGCTGCAGCAGAGGGCAGTGCTGCTGCCCTGGGCTGCCCAGGCTGTCCTCTCTACTCAGGATGAAAACCTGTGCAGCCCTTGGAGCTTGGGGGAAACCCAGCACTTGTGGTTGTGTGTGCAGGAGAAAGGCACCCTGGCAGCTCACTGCTCCCCCTGCCCTTCACCCTTACAGCGAGAGTGCCCAAAACTACTCCACCCATCCAACATCAGGGGTTCACCAGATCTAGCAGTCTCACCATGACAAAAAAAAAGCCCACAGACAGCCTGGGACAAAGCTACAAGTGCCCTTGGACTTGGACAGCCCTGCCCCCTGTGCTGTTCCTACTGCTTGGGAGCTCCCTCCAGACTTGAGGAACTCTGGTAAAAACCCCCAACTGCATTTGCAGTACATGAGACAGCAAAGCTCATTTTCACATAAATAGACCCACAAAATTTAGGAAAAACCTTCATTTTATGCAGTGAGTGCTTGAAACAAAAGCAAGCAGAGCTCCCCCTGACACTCCCCGGGGTCTCCCTCTTGCAAGGGGCTACTCAGTAGCCACATGATACCTGCAGCCCTGGACTGCTCCCCATTGCCTCTTACTGCTGTCCGCACACTGCGGGGGATCTGGCCAGTCCTGCCACTTCCAAGCCCAGGCAGGAAAGCCAGAAGACCCATCCAGGAGAAGGCAAAGGGGTCACAGGACTTTCCATCTCTGTCTCCAATGCAATGCTGCTCTGCTCTCACAGTCCATGCAGGATGGGAGCATTTCCATAGCTGTAGAATAAAGAGATTTAGAAGCACTGTGGGATAACTGCATTTATTTTAGTTCATTACTTCTCTGGTTATTTAACAAGTCAGAATTTGGCAGAAATAAAGAGTAGAAGACCCTTCAATGCCCAGGGACAAGCAGTACACAGACAGGAGAGACAGCCCAGGGAATGATGGTGCTGAGCCCTCAAATGAAATCCTTCACTTGTCATTGATTCTGGGGGTAACCAGGCACTCCTGTCCCACCTCCACCAGCAGAAAAGGCACCCTGGCATGAAAACTCGCAAGTCATGAGGCAAGTGACGGGTTTCACGAGTTAGTCACAGCTTGGTGACAAATGTACCAGATTTTTGTGCACTACTAAGGAAAAAGAATTGTGGAAACACAGCCCCTGCTTTTGCTAACAACAGCCCCTGGCAATGCCCTGTAACCCAACCCACCATAATTTGCACAGGAGGAGAACCATGGCTACAAGGGGCACCAAGGGAGCACACAGAGGAGCTCCTCCCTAGATAGCCCACTCTGAGACTCCATTTCTCCAGCCTAGGTTTCCTAATCCACTAGCAGTGGACATAAGGAAGACAAAGCACTGGCCTAGGACAGTGAAGGGCTAGGGAAGGGAGAAAGCACATCTAATATTTTTTCCCCAAAGGCAGTTGACAGTTCCCCTGCCATCCCTCACCAATATGAAGAGTACCAGCATTCTGCCAACCTTTTCATCCTTGGGCTTGATCCTACATCCATATGATAACCAACACAGAGCTTCTGCAGGTGAGAGGCTGGCAGGGAAATGCATGACTTTTGAGAGCCTTGGAATCACAAAAGCATCTTATCTTCTCCAGAGAGACTGTTCAATGGAAGACAACAGCCCCTCTTGGTGCCATGAGAAGTCTGTTTACAAGGTGTGGGCAGTCCTGGGCTCAGGTGTCCAGAGTGATGTGGAATGCCATCCCTTGTAAGTGTTGTACCCAGTGCTGCTCACCTGAGCATTACAGGGAGCCAGCTACCCCTTCACCTCAACCAGGCACCCAGAATGCCTGCAGGAACTCTGCTTGGCCAGGCTTTCTTCCAAACACTCAATTTGGGAATGCTGCACTCCACCCCATGAGATGCTGCATGGTTTGTCCTACACTGCTGCTGGCTTGGAGAGCTCAGGAGATGAGCAGCTGCAACTCTACCCCTCTTTGCTCACACCACATGCCTTTATCTCCATCCCAGATTTTATCTACAGCAACACCTATAGAAAACAATTTTCAGCTGAGCCCTCTAAAATCTCCAAATGGTGGGGGAGGATGGTTTTGCTGTGCTTAAACCCCATGTAATTTCAGTAATCCAATTTCCAGAGCACCTAAACCTGCTATATTAGCCCAATGAGTGGCATGAATTTCTTACTTGGGCTTTGTTATCAGAGGAAGGAGACCAATGACCCACACCCCAAAGCATCCTGCTCTCCTCCAGGCCTTTGCTCTGCCCCACCAGGAGCAATCCAGCCATGCTGGTACACAAAACCTTCCATGATCTCTTCCTCCTCTTCCTCACCTTGAGGCTGCCTCTGCTTCTTCACAGTATCTTTAGGACACACTGCTAAACTCATTACTTCCTACAGTACTGGTGCTCTGAACACACACCTTTCAGGAACTGCAGGCTGCAAGCCTAGAACAGCACACTGACCTCTTCAAAACACTTCCCTCCCTCCCTCCCTCCCTCCCTCCCTCCTCCCATGAACGTGCCATGGCACTGTGATCTGGGGTGCCCTGAGTAGCAAATGTTGCTTCAGACCTGGTTAGAAATGGCACAGGCTTGTGCTCTCAAGCAGATTTATCCCTTAGCTCAGTACTAACTTTAATGGTTTCCCATTAAAAGCAGCACAGACACAAATTAGCTCCAGGTAGACCAGCTTGTTTTACACCTCCAGTCGTATTTCAGCCCCATAGGCAGAGTGGCTCTCCATGTATGTAACAGGTCCTTTCGCCTCAGCAGAGTGCCAACAGTCAGGCTCTTCCCCTGCACACAATTAATACAGAGACCACTGGCTCATAAATCTCCTCTGGGAGCAGCAGACTCTTATGATCCAATGCAGCAATCCAGAAATTACAGTTTTGTGAGATGGGACTTTTTCTGAGTAAGGGAAGAAAATTCCCCTCTGTCCAAGCTCTCACAGCTCCCAGACATGATCTTCCTAAACCTCACAGCTGGTATTAGTCCTAATGTATCATGTTAGTAACAGCAATCACAGCAAACATGTGGTTTTGTAATGAGATTACAGCAAGAACCAATACTGTGGACTTTGAGACAAAAAGAAGGGCTGTTCCTCCACTGGGGCAGCACCAAGTCAAGAGCATGTCCACTGCTGAAGATAAACCTGACTTTGTTCAATGGTCCCATCAGGCTCACCCACTCTGGGGTGCAGCTCAGGTCAAATTTAAAGGAGCGGAGCTGCACCCCTGTCAGGAAATTCAAGACAACACTTGCCCAGCCTCCTTCCCACCAACATCAGTTGCAACAATTTCCACATGGAACATGGTCCTCAGGCCTTGACAGCTGAACCAGGAGAAGGAAAGAGGGTCACAAACCTGCTTTTCTTTTTTCTGTATTTTCATTATCATCAAATCTGGGATGAATGTTATTTCTGCAAGACACAACACAAAAAAAAAATCGCAATGATGAGACTGCTGAATCTGAGGCACTCCGTTCTTCCATTCACCCCTCCAGGAGGCTGAGCCAACCCTGGGGCTGCTCAGAGCAACAAAGCTGTCAGAATGAAACTCTCAGGGACAAGCTTGGGGACATCTGCTCTGCCGAGCCACAGCAAGAGCCCAGTCACAGTTATGGTCACAGATCAGCACTGCCTGAAACCCATCGGCCAAGACCAACATGGCAGCTACAGTCTCGGCAAGAAGTGGCACGTCTGGGGCTTGCACAGAACACACTTCAACTCCTCAGAGCCCCAGGTATAGCTCAGGCCCTGCTGAGAGATTTGTTGGATGCTGCCAGCCCTGCAGCAGCAGAGGGAAGTAAACAAACCAGCTTCTGCCAAGCAGCAATGACAGCAGAAATAGATGGGAGAGAATGCGGGAACTTGATGTGGACTGCTGTGACCACAGAAGAGTTGCTATAGGGACAAAGATGAGGCAAGTAATGAGAAGAAGAGCCATGTCTCCCCACAAGCAGCCCCAGATGCAGTGCTGGGGTTGGGCTGGCTGTGTCCCCAGGCCTGCGCCCCCACAGCGGGGAGGATCCTGCATGAGTGGGCACCCACCTTGCAGCCCACACAGAGGATGGGCTGAGGGAGGGGTCATTTCCAAGCAACCCCTCCACAGCAGGCCTGATCAGAGAGCCTGCAGTTTCTAGTCCAGCTCTTTGCAGCACCTTAGTGCCAGGGGTGACCAAGTCCCCACACTTTTCTCCCCAGTAGATCAATGAGGGGTCTGTGGCAATGCAGCATCATGATGTGACAGCTACAGCTGGTCTGAAGTTGCACAGATAAATTGGCCAAAACAGACACCAACTCAATCAGACTAAGCTCATTAGAGAATAGAAGCAAACAAGTCCTCGGGAATGATAATGATAGGTCAGATTCAAATTCAAACAGAGACCCCAGCTAATCCCATTTAATTATGAATGCAGACATATCGTTGACCAGTGAGCTGGGTGGTGTTAAGATGCCAACCAAGCAGGTGTGTAAGCACAGGAAGTCTGAAGCCCCTATAAACGGGGGTGCCCAACAATAAACTTTGGCTGTTGTCGTGTGAACTTTGGTGCGTTCTGAGGTGTGCCTGTCTCCGAAAGTGGATACAACAGCTGCCACGGGTAGAGCGAGGAGACAGAGGGCAGCGGGGAAAGCTGCCTGCAGCCTGTAGAGCTGCAGAGAGTGGTGGAAGAGTGGGTGTGGTAGTCCCAGCGGAACAGCAGGTATAGCTTTGAGCAGCGTGGAAAGCTGTGAAGAGCAATGGAGAAAGCCACATTGGTCTGAACCCTCTGTGAATAGAAGAAGCCGCCAGGAAATATGGGAGTATGGGCTTGGGTGGAAGAAGACCCTGTGGTAAAGGTATGGACCCTCTTTTTATCTGAATGAGTGGTAAGTTTTGTGGAACAGGCTCTGGAAGCCGTTATGGATGTTATAAAACCCTGGGAGACTTGTGGAAGAGGCTCTGGAAACTGCTACAGAAACTATGGACATTATAAAGCCCTGGAGACTTTTACTGGACTTGCTGGGACAGTTAAAAGTCGACTGGGATGCAAGGACAGTGGTGGGGAAGCTGCGGGCTCTGCCCACTGAGGCATGTAGTAAGGACAGGGCACTGGGCGAGGCAGCAAGAGGCAAGGGTGCTGCACCGGCTGCGTCAGACAGGAGGATGGGCAAGACAGCTGCATTGCGCCGCCAAAATATGCCACAGCACGAAGCCACCCCATGCTGGGATGCCTCACCAGTGGAGAGTGCCACAGCAGAGCCAAGCCGCTGCGAAGCCGTGTCAAGTCATGGAGCCACATCTGCCACTGAGCCGTGCTGGGCCACTGTGTCAGGCGAGTGCTCTGCAGTCATGCCTGACCGCGCTGGCTCTACAGCCGCACCACAGTGGCATGCGGCCCTCGCAGAAGCGAAGCGCCCTGCAGCCACCCCAAGCGTGCACACCAAAGCATCCTTCACCACCACAGACATGCCTGGACCGCCTCCTCCCAGGGCTGATTGGCTTGGGTCCGAAACTGCGCCTACAACCCAGCTTCCACTGGGCACACCCACTAGCCACCGCAACTCATGGGCAGACCGTGGACATACATCACCAGGATACCCAGACAACATATCAACGTCCTGCCCAGAAGTAGCGGCAGGATGGAGGATCCCAAAGTCCCACTGCCGCGAGTGTTGCTGTCGCCACTACCAGAGTTGGAACCGCCCCTTGTACACACACTGGTAAGGGATTCGACATAGACACAAGACATGACACCTTTGCCGCTACCGAGTCAGCGCTGTGCTGCAGTTTTCCATTTGACCCCGGTGGGTCCAGCTGCACCAAGTGATGCAATCTTGGGGAGCCCTGAACAGCCGCTGCTGCACTGGGGTAAGGGGAGCCCAGTCAGCGGAGGACAGCGACCTTCTCCTGCCCTCTGTGGAACGCCCCTTCACGGTCATGAGGCTGCGCCACCGCCGCCGCTTGTGGGGTGGCACAGCCCCAGTGTGCGCCGCCCCGGCCGGCCGCCCCAGCCGCCCCAGCCGGCCGCTCCAGCCGCCCCGGCCGCTCCAGCCGCCCCGGCCGCCCCAGCCGCCCCGGCCGCTCCAGCCGCCCCAGCCGCTCCAGCCGCCCCAGCCGCCCCGGCCGCTCCAGCCGCCCCGGCCGCCCCAGCCGCTCCAGCCGCTCCAGCCGCCCCGGCCGCTCCGGCCGCTCCAGCCGCCCCGGCCGCTCCAGCCGCCCCGGCCGCTCCAGCCGCCCCGGCCGGCCGCTGCTGACAAGCCGGTGCTGCAGCTGCAGCCTCCATCCCAGCCAGCACCGAGGCCGCGGCCCCCAGAGCGGGGGAGCTCTCCAGCCGCAGCCGCAATCCCCCTCCTGCTTCCCGCAGCAGCAAGAAGAGGCAGCAGCACAGCCGAGTGCTTACAGCTATGCTGGGGAAACACTGAGATTGAGGGGGGTGGCAGGCACGGCCATCCAGCCACCGCAGCCCACCGCAGCCGCTCACCATGGCCCTGCAGACGCATGCCCAGCATGCAGGGCAAACACAGAATGTCTACCCATGGAATTGAGACACATTAAAAAGCCTCTTTGGTAAGGTTTTCAGGAATTGGACAGGACAAATGGTTGCCACGGAGACAAGCGCCCATTCTAATATTAGTTTCTGTATATACCTATGACAGCTTTAGTCCTCATGTTATGATTGGCAGCACTGGATCCTTTTCTTTTCAAATGTGTATTAGAATTTCAGCAGAAAAATGTGTAATATTTAAGGATTGTAGTTAAATTTAATAATTCTCTTCCGTATAGAACTCACGAGTAATTTTCCAGGTTGTTTTTACTCTCCAAAGAAAAAGAAGCATTATGGTATTTATTTTTCCCTTCTAAAAATCTTACCGTTTCAGTTATGGGATTTCCAAATCTAAATTAAGTTTTGTTCTCAGTCATTTAAAATTGTGCAAATATTTTATTCAAGGATGGGACCTGTTGACTACTTTCATTTTATATGGCAATTATCAAATCTATAGTAAACCAGCCAGACTGACAATATAAAGCTCTAAAGCTTAGAAGGCTATTAAGACAACACCAAAAGGAAACTATTAATATGCTTGTAAGTGAAAAACTTTATTATAAAGCTTAGAAGTTTGGAATGTATTTCCCTGACTCTTCATAGTAAGCTGTTTCTGAAAAGGAGTCATACTGATACATACACTCTATTCATACAATATTCAGGGTAATATTTACCTGGACTTCATCACCTTACAGTACTGATGTTTACAAATGCAGATACAGATGATAAAACCCAATGTCTGACTGGACATACTTTGTAATAACTCTGGATAATGGCAACATAACACTTAGTTTTGCCACCTTCAATTTGATAAATAATTCTCCAAGAAAAAAAATAATACCATGCAAAGTAAATCCCAAGGCACAGATTTCTAAATCCCTGTACTGTGCCATATGTCCCCTGCAATTAATGTCATGTATGGAGTCCCAAAACTATAAATTGTGGAAGTATAAAAACCCAGAATGAAAGTCCAGAATAGAAAAGACTGTTTTGTTCTTGAATTTGACCTTTTCTATTATGTTTATGCAATTCCTATACTTATTATCCTTAAAGGTATTGTAAAATTCTTAGTATTCCAAAGTCGTGAATCAGAACATAAGATGATTACACAGGAGACAAAAACTGCTGAATTTTTATTTCAATCTGCACAACACAAATATTTGGTATAGAGGACTAAAATTCATTATGGGTTTAAAATTAGATCAAACAGAATTTATCGCAGTCTTGCCATCTCTGGATTGCAGTGTTTGAAGATTTAGGGGGGAAGACATTAGCATGTTGCTTTAAAGGAGGTTTTCTTGCTAAGAATAAAGGTGATGCCTTTATTCCAACCACATTGCTAATATTTTAATACTTTAATTTCAATCATATCTCTAATATTTCCCAATGATGGACCTTCTATAAACAGTTACCCTGTGTTATAAATTCAATCTACCCTGTCAGTGACCCAACCAATTGCCCAGTGAAAAGAGGTGGCATACATAGTATTGCCAGTCCCTTTGTGACAGCCTCCTGCTACCTTCCTGCATCAGACAGAAGGCAACTTCAGTGAGACATAGACTTTCTTAATATTTATGACACTTTAGAATTCAAAGACACTGTTTGCTTTAAATGTCCCCAAAAGAACACTCTAAGTTCATGAAAGCAAACATAGAGGTACTAATTTGGTTTAGGAGGAAGATGTTTGTGCAGTTGCATAACAAGTTGAATGTTTACATGTCTGAGTGGATTTATTATGTTTGAGCTCACCTTGTTTGAGACAATGTGACTTGTGCATACCTGGCACCATAGTTTAAGATTATATGCCTTGAAGGTGCAATGCTTTGTAATCAAAGGGGAAATGTATCTGAATTTATTAGGATAAACAGTTACCTTGAAAATAGACTGATACGG